ATTTGAATATATCAATGACATTTTATTAACTAGGAACAGCCGATTGCAATTTTCACTATCATCATGACGTGGTAAAATATCCTATACATTCTTCAGGTTTGAGGTAATTATGGCCACCAAAGAGAAATGAAAATAAATCTAAATTGCCTATGGTGAGGCGTTAATATCTATCATGGATCAAATTTTCAAGGTTTAGACATGTCACTGTTTGTTTTGTACATATTTTGTAAAATTGTATTTAATGGTGGTAAATGCCCCACCTGAAACAGTCAATTTGCAAAACTACGTGCTAAACGAATTGATGATATAACTTGAGGAAAAAAATTCATGGCACGTGTTAGACTATACAACCAAAAGAATAAAAGTTTAATGAGATGTATTTCCTAAAAAAAAAGATTAATCTACGGTTCTGTGACTACATATTTTTAACGGAATTTATATTTTAAAAATTGTAAAATCGTGTTTTATGGGTTTTCATTAATAATGTGTGGATCATGACTACAAGCTCTGTACAAATAACGTAGGTGTTAAAGCATTGATTGATGTCTCATGGTACACATCCGTTTAACATTTGAATTTTCAGCGAACACTCCGTGATAAAGTACTTATATCTCACATTAATTAGGTTCACTAGTTCTGAACTAAAGTAATTAATTCTGTTTAGTTACTATAAACCGGAATAAAGAAAGAGTGAACTTATTAGTACTACTGATATTACAAAATACTAAGATGGAACTCCCTCGTCACGACTTTGTCAGCCGTTGGCGCTTTATACATGGCTATTCTGCTGCCGGTGGTCGATGCTGTAAGTAACGGCTCAAAAAACAGTGATTAACGATAGCTAGCATTACAGTAGTTCAGCAGCTAGATCTGAGATACCCTGGACAAATATATTAACGACAAAACTTTGAATAGAGCCGTTGTCTTATTAAATATCGCGAGCTTTTATAGCGCCGCACGTGCATGAATTTATCTCGTTTCTTATCATTAAGTAAACAACGATAGCAAGCGATGATTGTTAGTGAAAGTATCTGTTGCTGTGTAGGTGCAGTTAGCGAAGTATATTATTGCCTTTCAGTCATGAGTCATTCTCAATTTTTACTCGAACTTTACTTACATTTTGTTCCTTTCTACGTCTATTAACAAGCTAATGGGTTGTAAATGTTGTAAACTTCAAGAAAATAATAATTTATAGTAATTAGTGTTCACGAATTGCCGTAATACGAATGTAACTTCACTGAATTTACATCTTCCTGGAATCTGTCTACACATTAGAAAATAAACTATTAATTATTTAAGAGTGTAATAGTAAAAAGGGAATTGTAATATTCTAACAGAATTTTTCAAGATAAGTGTAAAGAAAATTGCACCTTCTGGCGACAATCCATGTTTCCTGCGGCACTGCATGTCATTTTTTTAATAAAAGCCGTGAGCTAAATACACTTAAGCTGTTATTAATGACGGAACTGTAAAATTTCAGAAAGTCTGAAGTGCACATTACATTTCATATCAGATTAATTATGGAATTGCATGTTCACCTTGCTTTAATATTTCTATATCTCATTTTAGCTTTTACCAGATTACTTTGACCTTAAATGATATTGTTTGTGATCTCTTTTAGTGATAAATTAATAAATATGATAGAGACCCATAATTAATTTTTTTCTACTTCAATTTACCCCATGAGATTAAGTCTTTTTATTTGGTTCGGTACAATAGTATTTGTTAATATGCAAGTTCGAGCCGTGCTTAATTTAATTAATATTTACCTTTAAAAATCAAGGCGGGGCTTAGGTCAATAAGGATTCTGACAGCCTTGACATTATCCAGATATAAGTAGAAAACACTATTTTATTTATTTATAGATGTAATAAACAATAAAATTGCATGCAGTAAGTGAGTATACAGTGTGTTTGAAAAATGTGTATGAATGCATATTTTAGGATCGGCATGAATTTATGGTAACATGAGTAAATTTGACAACTACTTAATTTGACAACGATCGAACATGTTTTTAACGAAGATCCTCATACAGTATATGCATATAATTAATTCTATATTTTGGAAAATGTATTTCCATTTAGATTTATATTTTTGATCATATAAACTATGCACCACTGACTATATTTAATGAAATAAATATTCCGCCGATATCGAAAGCAAACAATCAGAATTTGTCAAAACGTAACAGAACAACAATAAAGTAACCTATAATATTTTTCTGCAATGGAGTGAGAAACAATAAAATTTGTTTAAAAAACTAAGAACTCTTATCATTTTTGAGAAATCCTCTTTAAATAATAGGAGTATTAAAATTCTGGTTGGATGTAATTTATATAAAACTTTCTATGCCTCTAAAGGGGAGTCAATTACACCATTTACCAGTGTCTTAGATAATTTGTAAAATTTGATTCTTCAACATTTACTTTAATTAATAGTAAACATTATATGTTAAAATAGGAACTAGATAATGTTAAACTGTAGGCAAGGCCTTATTGTCTATGCTGCTAATTTCAAGCAAAATTTTCTTAATATATAGTTAAACATTTTGTTAATTTATTCAATAATTTTTGAATTTCCTTTCTATAAATATTAAGGTACACAGACAAGCTATCTTTGCCTGGATATAAGTAAATGCCGGAGAATCAAAGAAAAAAAAGTGAAGAACAACTTTCGTAATTTAGACAACATGCTCTGCAGTGGGAAGTAATTGGAATCTGATTATAATACGATAAAATCAAATAATCAAAAGCGAGGCGCAGGTTAAATCAAATTGTATGATTTCAGTGATGACGTGCCAGAAATTTGAATAACAACACAGTTGATAGATTAGAAAAAATAATAGCATGCTATTAATTTCGTACACCCACAGAAAACCAATTTCGTTAGTAGTGCTGGTGTCAAAGACCTGAGAACATAAATTTTTTTACACCATGTACATATATTTAATTACATGACTGATTGCTTGTCAATTTGTTGTTCCGGTAATAAAACACGCACATTTGTGTTAACAATATAAGCATAGCACACATTTTTCTTTTCTAACGTTCATATATTCATATGGTAGGACACAGTTTAGTTGGAACTAAAATCTACTTTCTTAGATTTATACAGATATAATACAGTCTTGTAAGGAGCCGCCTCAGTGCATGGTTCTCAGGAAAATGCTTTTGAACTCATTATATTAAATTTATCTTGGTTTAGGTACGTGAATGCAAACTGACTAGAATACAAAGTGACGGGGAGAATCCATTTCGAGGATTTGTCTAAAAATATGAGCGCGTCATCTGAAACGTTTTCTCCAACATAAATATCACATAGTATGTGGGGACGTAACGAAATCGAATGCTTGCCTGGTTGTGCAGATATTTTCCAATAATTATATGGTTTTGCTATTACGGTTGACAGAAACGACTTAAATCTAGCAAGGAGACGTTCAGTCATTAAAATCGCATCAAAAATAAAGTAAAAGTACCCACAAAGCGGCAAGCTACCTCTATTTGTCACAATAAAACTTCATAATGTAATGGTTACGTCGAAATTATTGCAAAAACGACGCTGCATTTACTGCTATAATGTTCATTACTATGACAAATAGTGGCTTGTTTTGATATCTTGAATCGCAGCGCTTTTTTCTTGTAACTCGGGTTGTACAATACGTTTTCTTTGTCAAGGTTAAAATTATCTGACTCCCGTGGAACATGTTGAAAAGAAGTTAATCTTGTCAAGAATGTATTGTAGAGGTCGTTGTCAGTGGGTTTTTTCTTCTTTAGTTATTTTTAAATCGTATATTTTGCTGATACAGTTCGCAATTTAAAAATATTTTTGTTTCTTCATTTAATTACATGATTACCTAATATTCATTCATTTACACATACGTCGAGTACGAAATAAAAACTGTTATTGATGTTTATATTTACGTAGTGCATACTAATTATTTGCTAATAAATTTTATAATATTCTATGAATTCCACAAGTATAACATAAAATTCCTGTAAAATACTTTTGTAATTAATGTATAAAATTCATATTTGTATTTTACACTCCACATGTATGTTAACTATTTGTCCATATTGTTTTTTTAGTGACAGCTATAAACTGTGCTATCGTATTGTATTTGACAATTCTAATAGATCACATATATTTATAGAATAAAAACCTTCACTATCGTTCGAGAAAATGATTATAATCTGAAAGTGAAAAATCAATCTTTATCTAGCAAATTATTCGTCTTGACAGTCATCTTATCTGTTCAGCCATTGAAACAAGGTAAATGAAATTTTATTCGTAATCAACCAATTTTGTTGTTACTGGATCACAATAAATTTTACCACATTCTGAACAAATACGTGCCAGCTTTTATCAGCGTTGATAACAGAGGGTAATGAACGACCTAGAGAGATTATAAAATTCTGCTTCGTTCATATCGTATTTGTCGGGACATGGTGTAAAATTTTGACACGGCCGTTCAACTTGAAAGTAAAAACTAGAAAGTACATACTTAATGATAACAGTTGAATTAGTTAGAATTTACTATAATTTTAATTGCTTATTGCACGTTTATATTCCTAACTGTTTCGTGATTTAGGTTTACTTATTCTGTTTCTTGCACTTGTTAATCGACTTAGAAATAGATACCGGGTCCTCAGACTAGGGGTGCAGAACAAATATTCCCATGTTAGCAATATTAGAGGTAACAAACGAGAAAACACTGTAGGTATTTTTGTTTACTTAGTATACAATTCGGGAGTTATATGTATGTCGCATTTTTTATCATTGCTTTCAGTGTCACACTAATAAAACAATCTAATTTGACATTTAGATTTTTATCACTTACTTAAACTGTGTGGTCGTGGTGACCGTTAATTGTCGAAGGACCTTTGGTGTGGCTCGTGGAGCCAGCAATTTTTTGACGTACAAAAAGTCTGCGTGTGCTTTTCGAGAAGTTTATTGTGGACTGTTACAAATACGGGGTGAGTTTTTTCCTGCTCAGAGCGTTCTTATTTGGCGCTTGCGCGCCTTACAATTTCACGCCCGAACATGCCGCCCCCGTTGAAGGCTTCTGGCTTCAAAAAACAATATACATATACACAGTTATAAGTAAATGAGATTAAGATAGGGATTAACCCCATAAGTACATGTCATCAAGTCATAGCAACTGAAAATTATACAGATAGTTGCTTAATACTGAGAAGAAACAAATTTGTAAGTTTAAACAAGAACATGATTAAAATTTCAGTTTGTTCAATTAGTATTGTCCGTGTCACTGGCCATTGGGAGAACACAAATTTTCGACACTGCGCGTTTAATCACTCCCGTTCGAGTTTTCACGCTTACCACCCTCACAACCCCATCCCGTCCTGGATGCACCTCGACGATTCTACCCAACTTCCAACATAAGGGAGGTAAGTTGTCTTCAACTAAGAGAGCCATGGACCCAACCTTCACCGGAGGGGTCGGACGAAGCCACTTGGAGCGTTGCTGCAGATGGGTTAAATATTCGCGCGACCAACGTGACCAAAAGTGTTGACGCAACTGTTCTAATCGCTGCCACCGGGTTAGCCGCGGGATCTTTATGGCTTGTAGGTCTCGTTCGATGGGTGCCGTGAGTGGTTCACCGATCAAAAAATGTCCGGGAGTCAGGGGAATAAAATCTTTGGGGTCGTTGGACAAAGGGCTTAGCGGACGCGAATTGACGCATGCTTCAATGCGTGTTAACAATGTGTAGAGTTCCTCAAAGGTCAGAGACGAATTGCCGCAAACTCTCCTTAAATGACCTTTGAGTGTTTTTACACCAGCCTCCCATAAGCCTCCCATATGTGGGCTTCGGGGAGGAATAAAATGCCATTGGGTATTTTTCAGCCGCAATTGTTTTACAACGTTTTCGTAAAAGGTATTTGACTTTAAAAACTGACCTAGCTCCTTCAAATATCTGTTTGCTCCGATAAAATTGGTACCATTATCGGAAAATAAGTCTAAAACATTGCCTCGTCTTGAGATGAAGCGATTAAGAGCGGCTAAGAAAGCCTCGGATGATAGGTCGCTGACCAATTCGATATGAATAGCCTTCGTGGTGAAACATATAAAAAGCGCAATATAAGCCTTTGATGTTCTTGTACTTCTCTTAGGGCCTGTTTTAATTAAAACAGGTCCAGTATAGTCTATACCAGATCTCAGAAAGGGGCGAAGCGGTTCAAGGCGTTGTGTTGGCAAATCGCCCATTTTTGGAGTTACTACCCTTGGTGAAACCTTGAAGCAAGTTAAACATTTTTTAATGATTTTACGGGTGTTGTTTCGACCATTGATTGGCCAGTACCTTAGCCTTAAGGAATATAAAGTGGATTGTGGACCACTATGTAATTGTAATCTGTGCTCATGTGCAATGATAAGGTCAGTTACAAAATGGTTGCTTGGCAATAAAATTGGGTGCTTTACCGCATAATCTAATGCCGAATTTTTTAGTCTGCCCCCCACCCTCAACAACCCGTTTGAATCGATAAAGGGATCTAATGAAATTAGTTTACTTCTACGGGGCAAGGGCGTTCCCTTTTGTAAATGCTTGAATTCTTCCGTAAAACCTTCATTTTGAACTTGCTTCAAAATGAAGTTGTTTGCTTGCCTTAATTCGGAAATACTTAGATTACTTTCAGTACGTTTATCGTTAGTATTCTTCAAATTGTGGATGTAACGCAAACACCAACCAATTGCGGCTACTAATTTGTTGAGTGACGAGCACTCCTTAAGTATAACTCTAGATTTAACAGTAGTAACTAAATTCACTACACGTTTTTCTGGAACATCATTCGAAAATTGTTGTTTGGGTATAGGCCAGACAGATTCGTCTTTATTTAAAAAACTGGGTCCATTCCACCAGAGACTCGAGTTATTAAGCTGTTCAGGTGATCGGCCTCTGGTGATAATGTCCGCTGGATTATCATTTGTGTTAATGTGGTTCCAGGTACAGTTGAGGGTGTTTGATTGAATTTCCGAAACTCTGTTGGCAACAAAGGTTTGCCAGGTATGCGCGGGAGCCGATAACCAGCTTAGAACGATGGTTGAGTCGGTCCACAGAGTGCATTTATTTATGGTCATATTCAAAGAAGAACAAATTTTACTGATAAGTCTGGACAATAACAACGCACCTAGCAATTCAAGTCTCGGTAATGAAAGCGTTTTCAGTGGAGCTACCCTACTTTTTGCGCACAGTAACTGTACATTATAATTCCCATTTATGCCGGGTGATCTAATATAAATTGTTGCTCCATATGCCTGCAAACTCGCATCTGAGAATCCATGCACTTCAATAGCAGGACTATCGTGATTAATTATTACATTCCTGGGAATGGCGATCGTACTTAATAAAGCTAATTCCTGGATAAAATTACACCACTTTACCTCAATTTCTTGAGATACACGTTCATCCCAATCTAATTGACTTGACCATAACTGTTGCATGATAACCTTAGCCTTAACTACAACAGGTGATATTAATCCCAGCGGATCAAAAATTTGAGCTATTATGGATAAAATATTGCGTTTAGTTAGTTTACCTTGCGGGGAGTCCGCCTTAACGCAATATTTAAGTTTGTCTTCCTCTGTATTCCAAATCAAACCTAACGTTTTTGTGTCCTTATTAAATTGTACAATGTTATGTAGCTGACTACAATTTTCGGGAATTAAGGCCGAATCATTTGATGCCCACTTGTACAACCGAAATTGCCCTTGTCTTAAAATCTGTATAATTTCTTTTTGTAAATTGACTGCTTGAATAATTGAATTGTGGCCACAAAGCAAATCGTCCATGAAAAAATTATTTAAAATATGAAATGAAGCAAGTGGATATTTGTCTTGGTTTTCCCAGGCTAATTGTTTCAAACACCGCATTGCAAGATATGGCGCTGAAGCAGTACCATATGTAACAGTTTTTAGTTTATATGTTCTGATTGACTCATTTTTAGTTTTTCTCCATAGAATTAATTGATAGTTAGCGTCGTTCTCGTTTACTAATATTTGCCGGTACATTTTCTCAATATCACCACTAATTACATATTTGTATGTTCGGAATCGAGTTAAAATACAAAATAATTCCTGTTGTAGATTAGGGCCACTCATTAGATTGTCGTTTAGACTCAAATTATTCGATGTTTTGCATGACGCGTCAAAAACTACACGCAATTTCGTGGTCAGGGCTGATTGTTTTACAACTGCATGGTGGGGTAGATAACAAGAATTGGGGTTAGTAATGGTCTCAGCAGGCACTGATTCCATATGTTCAAGTGATTCATATTCGTTTAAGAATCTGCAATAATCTTCCTTCAACTGCGGTTGTCTCTGTAATTTGTTTTCGAGGTTGTAAAATCGTCTCAACGCAATGTCATATGAACTACCTAAATTTACAACCTTATCCTTGAAGGGGAGAGACACAATAAACCGGCCATCCTCTTTTTTACGAAAAGTTTCTTGAAAGTGTTGCTCACAGGCAACATCTGCCCTTGATATGACCGAATTACTGCTCACTTCTTCAATTTCCCAAAACCGTTGCAATTGTGTCTCTAAAGAAATTCTTGTTAAATTACACACTGTTGAGGACGAGGAGCTCGGATTTATGACACCCCCCGCGACGTACCCTAAATATGTCTCTTGGAAATGAGGCCGATTTTGTGTTTGGGTTATTTGCCCAGGCATAAGTATTTTCCAAAAGATATCCGCGCCAATTAATAAATCTATGGAGCCTTTGTTATAAAACTCTGGGTCAGCCAATTGAATGTTACTAGGTATTGAGATGTGAGATAAATCGAATGACCGGGCGGGTAATTCTGTTGTTATGTGTGGAATAACAAAGCACTTAATTTTCTGCGAAAAAGATTTATAAAGAGAGTGCAACGCGATGTTTGTGACTTTAGAGGAACAACTTGTACTACCGTTAATACCTACAATACTCAGTTTAGTTCCCTCGAAATCTAAACCTAATTTTTTGAACATATTTTCAGTTATAAAATTAGATTGTGATCCAACGTCTAGCAGAGCACGACACTCGTGCAATTTATGAAATTTGTCTTCAACCAAGACTACAGCTGTTGATAATAAAATCATACTGGTAACATTATTACCTTGCGAAACATGCGCTGTTGACGACGATGGTAGTACTAATTCTGTAACAACTTGTTCCGTACTATGTAATAAAGAATGGTGCTTATTTTTGCACTCTTTGCAAATACCAGTCGATTTACAAGAACTAAGTTGGTGCCCGGGTCGTAAACAATTAAAGCAAAGTTTGTTGTTTTTCACAAAATTTTTTCTCTCGTTTACTGATAACGCATTAAATTCGGCACACTGAAATAATAAATGAAATTTCTTACAGAGGTAACACACAGATTTACTTGCTGGGGTTGCAATATGCACCGCTGATCGATTTTTATAGTTATAAGAAATTTTATTCATGCCAGCATTTTGATTGACCTTTTGAGCCGCGTTAATAGATTCTATAAACTGGCATCGTTTTTCCAAAAATAATTTAAGGTCGTCTAGTTTGCTACGCTCCTTACCTTGGGTTGTTTCCCATTCCTTTTTGGTGGTATAATCTAATTTAGTGTTAATGATGGGAACGAGAATATCATCCCATTGGGCCACTGGGACCTGTAGTGATTTTAGAGCTTCTAAATTGATGGTTAAGTTATCCAGCAACTGTCTTAAACTTGTGTCTGATGATTTAGTGATGGGTGCGAAATTAAGAATTGAGTAGACATGGTCCTGGACAATCAATCGTTCATTTTTAAACCGGCTTTCTAAAATTGTATAGGCTGACTGATAATTAGCATTTGATACCGCCAAAGATTCTACAGCTCGAAGCGCTTCACCTGTTAAGCATGCCTTTAAATAATAGAATTTCTGACAATCTGTCAAGCGTTCGTCCTTATGCACTAAATTCGTAAAGGAATCGTAGAATGACAACCATTCATGATACGCGCCGCTAAAGGTGGGCAATTTCAGACTTGGCAAGTTAACATTGTTTTTGGTACCCGCTTGTACCGGCGTTACTGTATTACGCTTATTTAAAAATTTATTAATTTTTGCTACAAGGTCAAAGTAACCACATTCGAATTGTTCAGCTTCCGTCTCATCCGCGGCCTTCAAGCGCGTTAACTGATAATAAATCTCCTCAAATTTTGGGAGGCTTTGTTCTAGGCTTGCTTTCCTAAGAACTAATTGTTCAATGTCATCATGATCTGCAAAGGAGTCAACGTAGTCCCTTATACGTTCTACCTTTGCCTTGATAAGCTCTAGTCTGCTCCTTAAAGCAGCTGATTCGTCCGTATCATTAGAATTCGTCATTGTACGTTATTATTACTCGAAGTTTCCCGTAATAATCAGTAATTCGGCTGTAACCGTCGAGAAACTCTACACACCGCAATTCGATAGGATCTAGGATGTAGACAAATTACGGGAGATCTGATAGTGAACCACTAACCTGGGATTCTTCACTTGTTGCTGGTACTCGCTGGATGGCTTCCTGCTCTCCCCGAGGCTGTTGATGTTTCTCGTGGTTCTTTAAGGACTGGCCTTAACAATTGCACACATGTGCTTAAGGACTGGCCTTAACAATTGCACACACGCGCTTAAGGACTGGCCTTAACAATTACACACACGTGATTTAAGGACTGGCCTTAACTTGTTCACACACGCGCTCGCGGTTTTTGCACAGTTCCGTATCCTGCTCGAATTGACCAATTTTATGTGTGGTCGTGGTGACCGTTAATTGTCGAAGGACCTTTGGTGTGGCTCGTGGAGCCAGCAATTTTTTGACGTACAAAAAGTCTGCGTGTGCTTTTCGAGAAGTTTATTGTGGACTGTTACAAATACGGGGTGAGTTTTTTCCTGCTCAGAGCGTTCTTATTTGGCGCTTGCGCGCCTTACAATTTCACGCCCGAACATAAACATTGTGAAAAAACCATGTGGAAATGAACGATGTTATAAACATTTGAAAAATCGTTTACCGTCCTACAGAAAATGTGCCTTTTCGAGATCCTGTGAAAAACTGTTGTAAAAACCTCGCAAAAAAGTTTTTTTTTTGCACTCAACAAGTCTTATGCAAGTATCTACTCGTGCGAAATGTGCAACTTTCTATTTATGAATTTACTTTTACGTCCTCTGAATATCTTATAAATTGTAATTAAAACTACAATTATTATTATAATTTTATTGATTTTGGGGTGTGTGCTCGGAAATGTGTGTTTCCCACTGATTATTTAAAACTTTACCATAATTCAATACTTATTTTCATGTATCGCCAATATATGAAAATGTGTAGCGAAGAATTGTGGAACTTGACAGTATCTACTGCCAATATTCACAAGAGCCGACTTATCAGGATATTTTGTTGGGGTGAGACTGATATCTTACGACTAAATTGGATTGTAAAGACGAAGGCGCGATACATACGATGACAGAAATAGTCCCAATCACGGGATTGCCGCAAATTGTTTCTCAGATATCGCTGATTCCAGCAATTTAGGCCAAGTGTTGCTACAATATTTTACTTAGTTTTATCTAGCAGTATTTTTTCTTTAGGAGTATTTACGAAAATGGAAAAAAATAAAAGAGATGTTGTGTAATTTATACACATATACCGCATGCAATATTAATATTTTTTACACTTCCATCTCACATCGTAATCTCTTCTTACCTAAAGCAAAAAACATCAACGGGCTCGATACAAATTCTGGCTGAGAATCATGACATAAATGTGGGAAGGTTCATGTACATTATGTCTTGGTTAACACAGGTAGTTTTTTTGTCACTGAAATTTAAAAATCAATTAATCATCGTCCATCATTTTTCTCCATTAAGACCCAGCTGTCACACAAATATTTTGGAGGATTGCTCCTACATAAGCCATTCCTGCATAAAATGGTAATAACTCATACAATCTTTTAATGTTCCACTAACATTTTCTGTCAGTCACATTGACTAACTATCGTTTGTTTGTCTACAACTTAGCATTATAAGAGCAAAATTCATGGCAATCTGGTGTTAAATATAATGTGTAAACAAATCATATTCTATTATTTTTTAGAGAGAGATAAAATTTAAAAATAAATAATTATTTTTAGTTTATTAATGAAATCGTTATTCAATTACAAGTTTGTTAGAATACATTAAATTAATGTATATTTACATATCTACTGTTTAGCAATAAAAGTTCAAGCATCAGTTAGAATCTGCTATACACAAACATAAGATAAACAAACTTGAGAGTTTTCTGTAAATTCGTTGATACAAATTTCTCGAGATACGCACATTTTTGTTTTTGTAGTGCACTTTCTACATTCTGAATTCTGGTATTATTGTCTTTGTATAAATTCCTTTGCACCTTTGGCTCTCGACACGATGAAAAATAAAAATTCGCTGCATCCGTTTTAGGCGGTACGATTTTTGTACACCTTGTTTAATCGGATTTAGTATCTCGCCCAAAATGAGGGGAGGAATTTGTTTAATATTTTTCTCGTACTTAACGACATCTTTCCATAAAGCACCCTTAGGGGCGTTTGCAACATTCCGGACATCCTGTTTAGACTCTACATTTAGACTACTTTACATTTCCTTATACGAATTATATGTTACCTTGCTGTTACAGTCGCATTCCGCATGAAATATTGGTTAAGTAATTCATTCAGAATAGGTTTATAATTCATAATTTAGGCTCGTCGTACATACTGAAATAAAAGGGTTCTGATTAACCAAAATGGTGGGTATTAGATTTGCACGAATGCATACCAGAAGTGTGGAAAATGAAAAATTATTTCCATTATAACTTTTAACACTAGTTCCTTGAACTCCATTATAGAAAAGATATAAACTGATGGATGTGGGGTGAATGTGCAGTTATAGAGGAGAGAACAGGCCAATAGCTGCACTGCGAATGTAAGACAGTTAGTGCGTATCTTTATTTCCAAAATTTTATAGATCTAATGAAGTTTTTATATAATGTATATCTAAAATTAGAAATTTGCATTTACATAAAAAACACTCAACTACTACTCGTTAAAAAGGCATGCACATACAGACAGGTATTACACCAAGCTTTCCAATATGTGTTTTACAGGGAGTCATTGATCTCAATATGATTCAAAGTGTGGGCATGGTCTAGTGAGCAAGTAAAAGCTTTAATCAAAGCGTTTAATGAAATAAGAGATTTGTTTAACAATAAAGTTTGCCTGAATGGTTTAATGTTGAACTCTCGACCTCTCTACTCTCCAGGAGCAAGTTTTTGCATAATATAACGTTTTACACCATGAACAGAACCTGAAAATACAACTGGTGCAAGAAGTGTGGAATTATTCAGATGAAATACTTAAGTGGCTGCGAATCTCTCAGTAAGCACTCTCAATGTGCAATGAATTTTATAGATAATAAAATTAATATATCATGCAAAATTGTAATGAATTGTTGTCGTGAACCCCGGGGAGACAAGCTATACGATTGAATGGATAGTTTGAGACCGAGCGCTTGTGACACGCTCGAATGGACTCTACATTTTTTCAGTACTTTTTATCAAACGATTCTCATACTGTGCGTGAAAGTTTTTTTATTAAAGCTGCACGCACTGTGGATGAATTATTAACCTTTATTATCATTTTCTTTGATATTTTATGGTCGCTTGCCTGCTATACGGATAGTTACTGTCATTTTCAAGGATAAAGCTTTTTTGTTCCATTGTGGTTGTTGTGCTTGTGCTTCTTTAATTAAACATTTTCCTCTCTTTTCAGTGTAGTTTACTGAATTTGTCACTAAGTCTATGTAACGTTTTCATATGTTTGAGACAAGACACAAGATATGTTAAATTTAGAACTTTACTGGTCTTCTTGTTATTTTTTATTTTTTTCTAGAACGGTGAAGAAAGCAGTAAAATTATTTCTACAGTAAATTATGCAAAAAAAGTTACTATGACCAATCAGTAAAAACTTTTCTGATTCTAAGTATCATATTTTTTGTTTTTGGCGTTTACACACTTAACAAACTTAACACTTAACACATCGCGTGTCTATCAGCATGATGGAATTAAATGAATGACCTGATGTTAGTGTTCTAGTAATTACAGTCATTAGTTCATTAACATGAACTTTTTTCCTATTGACTCATAACTAAACAGGTTAAAATAAAAATATATATGATACTATTCACGATCCGAAAAGCTCCGTAGTCTCCGTTAGTTATTAGAAGGAGATGTTAATGACAAAGATAATAATAATTATAGACCAATTTCGTTGTGACACATTTTTCTTAACCTACTTGAAAATCTGTTGCTTAGAAAAAATTTATATTTTCTAGAAATGAACAACATATTATCTCCTCATCAGTTTAGCTTTAGAAAAGGATACTTAATTACAACAGCTGAAATAAACTTTGTTAACAAAGTCATTGAATTTGAACAGAAAGAATCTTAGTTATTTTTTAGATTTAAGAAGTATTTGATTAAATCCCGCATTATATATTAATAAGGAACTTACTGATTTATAATTTACTTTTATTTGCATAAGCAGTACTGTAATGGATTTGTGCCAACATGTAGGTACTATAACACCATAAACTTATTATACACAGTACACAGTGAAAACAGAAGACGCTTTTGAACGATACCGTGGAGACAAAGTATAGTAAAAAAAAATAATTTCTTAAGATTCGTAAATAGACACAGAGCACCTGAACGTGAAAATCAAAAGAAATTTCTAAAAGATCTTCCATAATCTGCCCACTGCAGACGTTCTCGTTCGAGAATCAGATCTTGAAGCCGACGCCTAAGACCTCTTGACCAAGCTAACTACACTTAAGTCTTTTATTTATGTAGTATATAATTTATAATTCGATAAAAAAAGAACTGTCAGGTGTGGGATTCGAACCCTCGCTCTCTTTCGAAAATCAGAGCTTATTTATAACTTTGTACTTTCTCATTAAGTCATTACTCTATATGATGAGATTGTAAGGAAAGAATTCGAGTCTGCGCGAAACAGGATCATATCCGAGGTCAGGTCGACAGTGTACAAGGCGATGACAAAGGTTCGATAAAAAGTAGTGGGACTACTAGGCCAGTCTGACCTCATTTGACCTGGCCTAGGAGCCCCACTATATAACTACTCTGTTCACTTTCATAGATGTACTGTAATAACAGTATGTTTGAACATTCTATGCGTCTGTTTAATAAAGATGACATTTTAAATCTATGAAGCAGTAATTCTTGAAAATAACTTCTTGGTGGGTATACACCGTTCAATATGTATTTGACTGTTTTTAAAAACCTTCGTTGGATTCTCTCCAAATCACAAATGTGGATGTTA